ACAAAAAAAAGTCTGAAACTGAAAAGTGCGTAGAATTATTCAATCACACAGTGTTCAGAAAGAGCATTTTCCTCTATTCTGCAATTTAGATGAATGACTGCTTAGGTGGCACTGGTGGTAGCACTGTATCGATACTTTTAAAAATGAGTATTGTATCCGGATACAAGGTTTCAGTACTTTTGACAGCCCTAATATTTATATATATATATATATATTTTCCGATACATTATCAAAGATGTTATATTGTGATTTCTATGATAATATTCTTCTACATAACCTCAGAAGATCTTGTTGTTTCTCCATTATGTCAAGAAAAAAATGACTGACATTTTAAGTTTGGCAGTGCAGGATCATGTTACCAGTTAAAAATGGAAAGATCAGATTAAATCTATGCATTCTGCTTGACTGTCAGACAAGCAATATGATGAAGTTTGACTCACAGGTTCTCCTTTTGGCCCTGGAACGCCCCTGATTCCTGGAGGGCCCCGGTCCCCCTACAAAAACACAAAAAATAGGCTCCAAAGTAAGAACTGAACTTTTAAATATTACAGCCAGCTATCAGCTCTGAGAAAATAATGAAGACAAACATGAAACTATTACTGATTTCACAACATTTACAGTTATAAAAAGCTAAGAAATCAAGGTGTGAGAGTGCGTTTGGTGAAAAATAAAGAAAAGTTTTCTAACTTATAATTCTTTCCCGCCCTCTTTTAATGGTCTCACCTGTACTCCTATCTGTCCGCTCTCTCCTGATCCTCCTCGTTGACCCGGATCCCCCTGAAAAGTGCAAAAACATCCATCAGTAATATTAACGTATATTAATGTTAACCTCTAGCGTAGTTTAGGTTTCCACTCACTGGTGCTCCCAGAGCTCCCCGAGGCCCTACATCACCGGGGCTCCCACGAGGCCCCTGTTTGGATAAGGAGGAGAAAACAGATCAAACTGAATTAACTAGTCTTACATCTATGTGTCCCTTTATTTATTGGAAATCTGCACCAAATGTTTCATATAATGTGAGATTAGATTTGAAATGCATAAAACATTTTAGGTTTATTCGATTTGCCAGTTTAAGATCTGACAGGATTTTTACTTCTACCCAAACCTAATTATTGTTTAACTTCAGATCATCATTTGATTATAGAAACAACGAACGAAAGGTTCACTTCTTGATTAAAAATTCAGATTAAGATGATCTGAAGGTAACAAACTATAAAAAATAACAAATTTGACATATATCCTGTACAATTCTACTGTGGGAAAGTTATAACTGCCAAAACAGAGTTGGGTAATCCCAAACTTTTCTTGCTGGGGCCCCCGTTTGGTTTACTAAAAGGTTTTAGAACCCCAAACCCCCAAAAACCCACCACCAACATTCTTTTTAAAGGTTGTAGAAAAAAAGTCACCTGCAGTAAATTACATTTTGGCCTCCTTTAAATCTCAAAACTAAAACCTTTAATGTAATAAACTTCTCTACCATTTTAGGACTCCAAAGAAACTGTGACATCCTGCTAGTCAATGCCTTGATACAATTAACTGGTTTTCCTTGACAAAAACTTTTGACCAGTCCGATTTGATTGTCTCTGTGGGGAGCCTTGAGATGATATTTGTTGTTAATTGATGCTTTATAAATAAACTGAACTGATGGTGTCAAAAAATGGAAGCAGTGATTAACGGAAAACTGTTTTTCTATTTATAGGTAATTATGTTCTTTTTTCTTTTTCACTGTAATGAATTGAAAAATAGATGTCTTGCTTTGGTTTATTAGTAATTGTCGAAAATGGGGATCAACTGTGGTAAACTTGATGAATCTACAAAACGGATGAAAAGACAAGACATCCGTGGATCTGGATATAAAATATGGCAGCAAGACAAACTTCTGTTTCCACAAAGAACAGAAAAACACAAACTCTGTGTCATGGTCTAAAACCAAACCGGGATCTTGTATCTAGAACAGAAACACCTCAAAATACAGCTGTAGTCACCACCAAGGGGAATAGATTGACTAATGGAAACCTGTAGAAAAATGTATGCCACAGTTTTTTTTTTAATTAGTTTTACTAGGACACTAATTTAAAAAATCACAGAGAATCTCAATAAATAATTAGAAGTTTCTAGTTTATATCTTGGCAAAGGGTGTAAATACATAGTGTATGTACATACTGTATGTACATAGTGATTTTTTTT